TATTTTTAGAATTCATCCATGTCGTTCTATATGTTAGTAGTTTGCTGTAGTGTAGTATTTTACTACATACATTTTATTGTATATTACTCTGTTTTATGACTTTACATTTGTAGTAACAATAATTTGTTTATTTAGTTCCTATTGGACATTTGGGTTATTTTTAGTGTGAGGCTATTATGAATAAGCTTGACAAGAATATTCTTAGACAAGTCTGTGTCGATGTCTATGTTTTTATTCATGTTGGGAGATTATGAGTGGATTTGTTGATTCATGGGGTATTTATATGTCTCATTTATAAGAAATTGCCAAATAGTTTTGCAAAGTGGTTTTACCATTTTATACTACCATGAATATATGAGACTTAAGTTTTCCATGTTACTGCCAACACTTGTTATGTATTTTTAATTATAGCTATTCTTGTAGATAATTAATTATGGTAAGCATCTTTTCATGTGCTTATGACCACTTGTATATCTTCTTTTGTAGTGTATTCAAATCTTTTGCCAATATTTAAATTGTGTTATCTTTTTTTATTTGTAGGAGTTTCTAAATATATTCTGAATACAAGTGATTTGTCTAACATTTGTATTATGGGTTTTCCCCCCCAGTTTTTGACTTGCCTCTACATTTTTATAATTTTTTTAATGCTATGTTTCAGAGTGTAGAAGTTTACTATTTTGATGAAATCAAGATTCTTGTGTTTTTGTGTACAGCTTTTATCTACTGGCCTGAAATCTTTTGCTTATCCCAAGGTCTTAAAGATATTCTTCTTTGTTTTATCTAGAATCTTTATAGTAGCTTAGGTTTTGACTATTAGTAGTATCAAAGGAATTTTTTTTTTTAATTTTTTTTTTCAACGTTTATTTATTTTTGGGACAGAGAGAGACAGAGCATGAACAGGGGAGGGGCAGAGAGAGAGGGAGACACAGAATCGGAAACAGGCTCCAGGCTCTGAGCTGTCAGCCCAGAACCTGACGCGGGGCTCGAACTCACGGACCTCGAGATAGTGACCTGGCTGAAGTCGGACGCTCAACCGACTGCGCCACCCAGGCGCCCCATGGAATTTTTTAATATTAGTGCGACAGAGGTTGTGGTTTTCTCCTCTTGCTACCCCACTGTGTACGTATCCACTTGTTCCTGCACCATTTTTTGAAACGACCTATCTTTTCTCTGTTGAATTAATTTTTGTGCCATTGTTGAAAAATTTATTGTGTTTTTGTCTAGACTATATGCTATTTCATTGATAAGTTTTGTTTCTCCTATTATGCTAGTTAGTATTGATTGCTTAGCTTTATAATTTCAGAGACTTCCAAATTTGGTTTTCTTTTTTAAGATTGTTTTGGCTCTTTTAGGTCGTTTGTATTTTTACATAAATTTTTGAATTAGGTGTTTTCTGCTAAATAGTAAAAAAATAAAATAAAATCTTAGTGGGGCTTTGGGATTTCAGCCTTAAAAATATTTTGGGGGGTGCCTGGGTGGCTCGTTTGGTTAAGCATCTGACTCTTGGGTTTGGCTCAAGTCATGATCTCATACTCTGTGACCTCGTTGTTTGTAACACCCAAACCTTCATCCGGCTCTGCACTGACATCAGAGCCTGCTTGGGCTTTTCTTTCTGCCCCTCTCTGTATGCCTTTCTCACTCTCTCTCTCAAAATAAACTTAAAAATCGTTAAAAAAAATCTTTTTGGAGGGCACCTGGGTGGCTCAGCCGGTTAAGTGTCCGACTTCGGCTTAGGTCATGATCTCGCGATTTGTGAGTTCAAGCCCTGCATCGGGCTCTGTGCTGACAGCTCAGAGCCTGGAACCTGCTCCAGATTCTGTGTCTCTCAATCTCTCAGCCTCTCCCCTGCTCATGCTCTGTGTCTCTCAATAATAAATAAACATTAAAAAAAATTTTTTTTAAATTTTTTTGGGAAGAATGGTTATGTTAACAGTATTGAATCTTACAGTTGATGAAAATGGTATATCCATATATTTAGATCTGTTGTTTCTGATAGCACTGTTTTGTATTTTTCTATATAGATGTCTCGCATATACATTGTTAACTTTGCCCTTACATGTTTCATGTCCTTTGTGTCAAATGGTATTTGTAAATTTTATTTTCCATTTTTTTTGTTTCTTATATATAGAAATAAAATAGACTTGTTGTATTTTAGTCCCAGTAGTCTGTGATCTGGCTAAACATAAACAGACGTATCATCAGTTAATAGACATGGCTTACACTTTGTCTTTACAATTTTTAGGATTTTTTTCTTTTTTTTGTTGAATTAGCTAGGAGTTCCACTACAGTGTTTAATTGAAGTGGTGATAATAGATATCATTACCTTGTTCTCAGTCTTAAATGGAATGAGTGCAGTATATCACAACTAAGAAGTTGTTAGTGGGGTTTTTGAAGATGTCATTTGTCAGATTGAGGAAGTTCTGTTTCTAAATTGCTGAGAATATTTGTTCATGGTTGGATATTGAATTTTGCCATGTATTTCCTACATCTTCTGAAATGGTTATATGGTTTTCTTCCATTATTCTATTACTATCACAAATTATATAGTTTTTTGAATCTCTCTTTTTTTTTTTTTTTTTTTTTTTGAAAGAGTGCGAGCAGGGGAGAGGCAGAGGGCGACAGAAGGAGCATCTTAAGCAGGCTCCATACTTAGAATGGAGCCCCGCATACAGCTCAATCTCATGACTGTGAGACTATGACCTGAGCCACAATAAGGAGTTGGAGACTCAACCTATTGAGCCTCCCAGGCACCCCAGAATGTGTAATTTTTAACAAAGCAAATTTAAATTGAAGATAAATACGTACTTTATGCCAATTAGTAAAATACCAGGCTGAGAGTAGTAGGTCTTTAATACTATCTTTTGATGCTAATGAAAAAAAAAAGGAAAACAGCTTTTAAAACTGGTTTCCTCTAGGAAGCAAGAGTGGAAGTGAAAGAAACGGGGCAGAGAACATTTACATCAGGAGTAAAAGTATAAGGAGAACAGCAGCTGCTCTTTTATTTTCTATTATCCATTTGCTCTTCTTATATTCTTGGAAAAAATGCAAATCTTTTAAAAATTAACAAAACCGGTATGAAACTTTAAGGTTTACACATCTTAATTTGTAAAAGATAAAATACAGTTCTGGAATGTCAGAATTTGCCTACCTTTATTCATCACTCCTGAGGTGAATTTCCCCCTCTCATTGTTCCCGCATATTGAATGCACCTGAAGATACATATTTTTTCTTCTTTGTAATAGAAAGACTTGAAATCATAACTATAAAGCATATGATGGATGAATTCTTTGCTTTTACAGGTCCTGTTGGTTATGTTTCTCATTTTAAAATTTATATTGTCAACTGTTGAAACCCATGAGTCATTGTTGATTTCAGTTAACCTTTCATGGTGACTTAATTTTCTCATTTATGAAATCAGGATAAATAATATGTAATTCATTGTTGGTATTGGCATTAAACAAAAATAGTTTAAATCAATTTTGAGAACATATGTTAAATATAGGCTTGATAATTAGAGTATTCTAGGAATTTTCCTGTGATTAATTAGATTATGATTTAGTCTTACACTAAGATCTTTATTTGACATAAAAAACTGTCCTTATATAAGTCCATTAGAACTTTTTAGTATTCAAAAATATTTCTGGGAGATTTTTAAGTAATTTCATCTGATTAAAAACCATAAAACCAGGAGCACCTGGGTGGCTCAGTCGGGTAAGCATACAACTTTGGCTCAGGTCATGATTTCACAGTTCACGGGTTCGAGCCCCATGTCGGGCTCTGTGCTAACAGCTCAGAGCTTGGAGCCTGCTTCAGATTCTGTGTCTCCGTCTCTCTCTACCCCTCCCCTGCTTGCTCTCTGTCTCTCTCAAATATAAACATTTTAAAAAATTAAAAAATAAACATGAGTTAAAAAAATACATAAGACCAATCAATACATAGGATTAGGTTGTTGTTTTTTTTCCCAAGATTTCCAAGGTGGTGGAAATGATTAATTGGTAAAATAAGTAACTAAGGAAGTTTGGGATGGATGGATTTAAAGTGTAGAATATTTTTTTTGAGAGAATTGATAGAATTAACTATAAGACCTATTATAGGTATGTCCAAAATGAAGTTTGTGTATTTAGTACTTTATTAAACTATAGGATTTTTTTTTGTATTTGTCTTCATTATACTAGAAGAATAGGAGAAATGTTCAACTATTAAAAGGCATTTCATTATATGGTCTTATGAACTAAACAGTTCATTAGTATCTAAGAGAAAATGTATATAACTTCATGTAACTTCATTATTATTAAAACTAAGTTTGATAATTACCTAGAGGCCATAAATAAATTAGAATTTTAGAAGAATTCTTAGAGCTAAGCGTTAGATTGACTCAAAATCATAATACTGGTTAATATTTAGATTAGAAAAACACTTGTTTCATGATAGTTCATTTAATGTCCTTGTTGACTATTGCATGTAGGCTGGATTTATTAAAATATAAACTGTATCTATTTAGGAGACCACCATATGCTTCTTTGCAGTTTCTTGTGAAATTTTCTTATGAAGTTTGCTTAGTCTTAGTATTCACATTACCAACAAATTCCCATACTAATTTAAGTAACTGAAATAATCTCAACTGTGGTTTTGAAAGTTACATTAACATTAAAAGCACTACTTAGAGAACCATCGGGAGATGATCTTGGTATCTGTGAATCTGAGCAGAAGGCTGTTGCCCGTTTTAGTCTAAGCTTTAGAAGAGAAAATAAGGATTTAAATAGCTGGATGATTTTATATTTGATACAGGCAGAATTCTCTGGATGTTGAGAACTGTTAATGAATGAAGTGGGTTGTTAAGAATTCTTTTGTTTCTTCCTGAAAATATGCTCACCCACTTGCTCGTTAATTTAACTGCTGTGCTTACGGGAGGCATGTGCTTTCTGAATTCTTGTGAAATTAAAAGGATTGTTTGACATTTAAAATCCTAACTTTACTACTTTTTTTGTTCTTTCTTTTAGGAGGAGCGTATTATTTAATATCTAGAAGTCTAGGGCCAGAATTTGGTGGTGCAATTGGCCTCATCTTCGCTTTTGCCAATGCTGTTGCAGTTGCTATGTATGTGGTTGGATTTGCAGAAACTGTGGTGGAGCTGCTTAAGGTAATTTCCCCTTTTAGACGTTGGTTTCCCAAATGTTTATTGAGGGGGTTATGTACCACTCCCCATGTTAGATGCTAAGAAAGCTGTCATGGACGCAAAATACGTCCTTCAAGAAGTTTAGTGTGGAAGATAGACAAAGAAAATAATGACGATACGATGTCACAAGTGGGTAGTTGTAGGAGACCTTGGCAACACAAAGGGTAATCACTTAACCTATGTCCAGGAAAGGGGGTAGCACAGGAGTGTAAGGAAGAGTTTTCCAGGGATGGGAGTCTAGGTGTTAGCAGGCAGGTCAGAGGAATGGGGCATCATATGAAGGGAATAGGGAAGAAAAGGAAACAGAGGCCTGGAAGAGTATGGTTTGTTTAAAAAACAAAACAAAACAAAAACCCTGTAAATATTTCTTTATGACTAGAGCACAAAGATTTAAAACTAAAGAGAGGAAAAAAAGGGTCAAATCAGGAAAGGTATTGTTTGCTGTTAAATTGTGGTCTTAATCTTGATCAGAGTTAGGGGCTGGGGTGTGATCAGATTGGTGCCTAAAGAAACCCCTGGCCCTCGAGTAGAGAATGGATCTGAGGGATCACAGGTGGAGAGGGAGACCATTTAGAAGATTGTAGCTATCCTGGGAGAGGGATGCTGGCATACGTTCAAACAGTGACCAGTGAGGCTGGAGAAGTGTAGTGAACTGGAAAGATTTTTTTAAATGTTGAATGAGTGGACTTGATGATTATTGGGCTTATGGGAAATTAGAGAAAGAGAAAGGATTTTCAGGTTTATATACAGATTTCTCAGTTGGTGATTCAAATGGAGGATAATGGCCTTCACTTCGAAATAGCAACACAGGGCAGTTTAATTTGGGATGTCTAATTTGAGGAACCTGAGTTACATCCCAGTAGAGCTGGCCAGGAAGTAGTTGATAATACTGCTCTGGAGTTCAGGAGAGCATTTGTTTAAAAAAGGCATTGGGATGTGTGTAGTTAAAGCAGTACAAGCGAAATAGGATTTGGCATATTTAAATGAGAAGAACCTTGAGAGATACCTGTAGTTGTTCATGTTAGGTTAGGCTGTAACTCTTCTTCTGCAGTAATACGCAGTACAGTAGGAAGTGTAAAATCTGAGGAGGACTGAGACTTACATTGGCATTGACCTTCTTTGTATAGGCCAAAGGGATGGAGAAAAGCAAGGGCTATAAGAAAGCAAGCAATGTAACTATTATGAATTCCTGTTTTTACATTATTTAATTTGTTAGCATGTTTTTAATGTCATTGAAATTAAACCACAAACATTTTTACTTGTAGAGTGGAAAGAGTGTGATTTTGGCCAAAAATGTATTCATTTCTTAGACAGTATAAAAGACCATTTTCAAAAGCATGACTTGGCTAATCACAGTGAATACAAAATATATTTCTTGAAAAAATCCTGTTGGTTCTGCTTTGACATACTATGATTTCTATTTGCTTGTTACCAATTTCATTTTTGATTTATGGAATCTGTATTAAATACAGCATTATTAATTTGATCATATTTTTGATATCTTGAGATAATTGTATGATACCTCAATAGTACATAGTTATTTATTCCTTTTCCTTAGGCCTCCCTATTCATTCCATAGTCATTTATCTAACTTTTTCATGTAAGGTGTTGTCATGTCTCTGAAATGTTTCAAAAAAGAATTAAATAGTTTACTTCAGTAACTAATATTGTTCGTTACATTTATAATTCTCTTCTTCTAGGAACATTCCATACTTATGATAGATGAAATCAATGATATCCGAATTATTGGAGCCATTACAGTGGTGATCCTTCTAGGTATCTCGGTAGCTGGAATGGAGTGGGAAGCAAAAGTAAGCAATGACATCACTGGAATATCTGTACATGTTTAATATGTCAACTTTTAGAACTTATTAGGGACCACTGTTAAGTGTGGTAATATACTTAGATTTTGAAGATTCCTTAAGTGGCCATTTTCAGAGAAATTTATGTATCAGGTTATCTTCTATCTGACAAGGTAAGAAATTTTTGGAGATTACAGTCATTCCAGCATCCACTTAAACCCAGTACTTTCTAACTTTTGACTTCCTACCTTCCATCCCTTCCCCTAATCTTAATTTACATTCTTTAGAATCACTCTGGTCAGTATGTTAGGAGCCCAAATTAAACTCTTGGCTTTGTAATTTATTTAAAAGTTCAACTTCAAAAATTAACACAGGGGCACTAAACTTCAAACTAGTGCCCATAGAGATCAGAAAAGTTAATCTTGTTCCTTGCGATTGAACTCTCAGAAATCCCAACTACATAAGCCAGGGGCACTGTTACTGGGAAGAATTGGTGAAGTCACATGTTAACATGTAGGCAGGGCATCTGGAATTATTTCTGTACCTTTGAGAAAATATTCCTCAGCACAACTCTATTTTCCTGACTAATGCACATCCACACAGATGCTGCTGAGGATCTCTAAGTCCTTTTAGGTTTCTTCTTGTTTCCTTTTTTAAGTCATGTAAGATCACACATCTGTGCTATGTATGAGCCATGATAATGTTTACCAGATCAAAAATTAGGAAAACTGTAAAGAATAAGGGTTATTTTCTTAAATCATTAGTATAAAATTAAATCATTTACTTACACATTTAACCAGTTGACTTTACTGAAAATAATAGAATTTCATACTACCTGGGACATGATTCTCATTCAAGCAGTTTTTCTTACCACAGATGACACAGGTTTTCTGGAGTATCTACTCCACTTTATTGGGAGGTTAAGAGTGGAGGAGGAAAGGTGAGGGTAGGGGGCAAAATAGTAAACAGAGTCAAATATATAAAATTGCAGTTCTAAAATAAATGTCATAGGGATGTCATGTACTGCATGGTGACTATAGTTTACTGCATATTTGAAAGTTGCTTTTTTAAGAGAGTATATCTTAAAAGTTCTCATCACAGGAAAAGACAAATTTTCAACTCTGGTCAAGGATATTAACTAGACTTATTCTGGTCATTTCACAATTTATGTATATAAATACTGAATCATTGCATGGTACCCAGGAAACTAAAACGTTGTTACACATCAGTTACACCTCACAAAAACAAAACAAAAAGAGTGCAGGAGGAGGGGTTGTTCTCATAGATTGTTCCCCCAGACCCATTGCTACTTAGATCCTCCTCCTGGATATTGTCTTCTTTCTGTACTTTTTCTTCGACTTTTCCTACAGGTGTCACACATTCAGCATTGTCTTTGGACTTGGTGTAAAACTTGTGTTTGTAACAGATATGTTCCCCACATCAACATTGTACTTAAGGTGGAGGGGGCAGTAAATAACCACAAAGGATGAAAAGCCTACAGATTGTGGAATTTATAGTGCTTTATGATTTACTGGAGGGCATGCACATCTTTAATTTCAGAAATACATGGGCTGGTTCTACGTTTGCTATCCATTTTCTTCCGAGCATATTGAACATTTTTGGATAGTTATTCAAAGATTTTTCATTTAATAAAAGTTTATTGAGGGGCACCTGGGTGGCCCATTTGGTTAAGTGTCTGACTTCAGCTCAGGTCATGGTCTCACAGTTTGTGAGTTCGAGTCCCACGTTGGGCTCTGTGCTGACAGCCTGGAGCCTGCTTCAGATTCTGTGTCTCCTCTCCCTGCCCCTCTCCTGCTCACACTCTCACACTGTCTCAAAAATAAACGTTTAAAAAAATTAAAAATAAAAGTTTTTTGAGCACTTGCTTTGTGCTTAGTACTGTTTGAGGCTCTGGGAAAACAAGACAGTAATCCTTTCCCTCATGCAAGTTATATGGTAGTGAAAGTGAATCAGTGTATAGACATGAGAGATTTGATTTTGATTTTTAATATTTGAAATTTCTAGGCTCAGATTGTTCTTTTGGTGATTCTACTTCTTGCTATTGCTGATTTCGTCATAGGAACATTCATCCCATTGGACAGCAAGAAGCCCAAAGGTTTCTTTGGTTATAAATGTAAGTAAAAAGAAACAATTTTAAAGGTGGTTATTATAACAATTCCATTAGTAAACAAGATTAGTATATTTTAGGTTCTTTGTAATAGAATTGATTTTGGTATAGTTACTCCAATTTAGTATTGTCTCCTTTATGTATATTACAGAGTAAAATACCACTTTTATTTAACCCTTTGGTTTTTCATTATTAGCAACAAAAGGTAATAGAATGTAGAAAAATCAGTGCTATTGAGGAAAGGTGCTTTTGTTCTTTATAATTTAGGGAGTTTCTAACTGAAATGGTAACTTGTGTTTTCACATGGCTTTTTCATTCTTCACAACCCAAAGTGCCTAAACCTGTGAAAGAAACATTCATTTCTTGGTGTAATTGCAACTTAAGTTTTTCTACAGTTGTCATTAGAATTTGTGAGAATTTTCCACAGCTTTCACCTCTGTAACCCTTTTCATTCTGCATCTGATTGATGAAATTGTCATTTGTTATTCCCCAAAGTGTCTCTCTGTACTGCCCCCTCTACCCCAACTCCCCCACCTGCTGGATCAACCCATCCTGTCTCCACAGGGTAAAATGGAGCAGGAAACAATTGTTGCATCAGCGTCATAGAGGCTCACCACTTAGGGTAATAAATAGACTTGTCTTCAGTTCATCAAAATTCCTGGTTTTGCAGCCCTAGAGGAAGAGATGTAGCTTTTATACTGCAGAATTGTATAGCCCAGAGCTGCTCACACAGATCTGTGAAAAGATATAGAATGTACATCAATGCATTTCTTCCTTCACGAAGTCTTACTGGGAACAAAAATCAGCTGACCCAAATTGTGCAACCTAGACCCCTAGTTGGTCTACACCCTGGTGTAAACTCACTGATAACATACAGACCTTAGAACATTTGTGAGTAGCACTGGTTTGGCTTATATCAGACACTGACTTAGTTGGCCTGGGTGGTTTTCTGATAGGAATTGTTCCAAGGATTTTACCTGAGCCAGTGATGCTTTTTCACTCTTCACAACCCATTATTTGTGCCTTCTGGTCCTGGGTTGATAGTGTGATAATATGTTTTTATGAGTGGTACTCATGCCTGATTCTAAGCTGGGCTTTAAATTCTTTATCTTCTCCATTGGGAGGACAGGTGTCTACTACGCATGCCAGAAGTGAAGTTCAGTAGCATTACTTAGGTAGTTCCTTTTCTTTATTTTATGCTCTCATAAATTGTGACATTTATTTTAATTACAAGTGATTTTTTACTTAAGTGTTTTTTTAGGATAAAAAAATTTTTTGAGCATTTCTTTTTGCAACTTTATTTCTAAAAGAAGTGTTAAAAATTAGAGTGGATGATTACTTCTAAAAATATTCCTAGTAATTATATATTTTCTCTTTGTGACTTAGGTTGACTTCAGAATAGCTACAAATAACTGCCACGTTTTTCATTTCCTTGTGTTTCAGATCCTTGGCAACTTTACAAAAGTATTGCATAGCTATCTAGTATAGTAATAAATATTGTATAAGTAGCATATCTAGATTTATCTCAGTCTGAAGTACATAAATCTAAATAAATTTTGGAATGTGACTTTTTTTCTTGGTGACTGATACTGCTTTGCTGTCTTGCCATTCATCTTACTAAGGTAGTGAGCTACCAGATGGCTCTAGCAGAGGACCTGGCGTATGGCACACACTCAGATACTGGTGGATGGGTGGATGGTTAAATGACAGTTAGTGGGTTATTTCATTGTCAAGGCCCATCATAATAGATGAAAACAGTAGGACTAGTTAAAGCTTTAATTATTGTTACAATGGAAAGGGACTTTACCTAGTTTGCTTTAGCTAAAATTCTGTGGAAGCCTGATGAATAATTCAGCATCGAAGCATAAACAGGTCAGCACTAGGAAGTAGAGAAAGCTATACAGATAGTATGTAGGTTAGGCGTAAGAAAAAAATGGTTCCATGTTAGTATGATGTTTTTCTACCTCCTTTCTTGTTTCCTTGACTGACCCCAGACATTAAGAAGTTTATCCATGCTTTGATTGACATCTGGACTAGTGATACCAATCAAGGTAGAGGTGCTTGAAACATAATTAGTAAGGCGTATGGACTAGTAGGCATGACCGAAGTCAAATCATCATTTTGATTGTAAACTGTTCCCTCATATAAGAAAAGAGGAATGCCAGACTTCACCTAGGAGGTATTCAAGAATTTACCAGTGACTTGAACTGAAAAAAAGCGAGGGATCGTGCATATGTATCGCTCAGACTTGACCTAAATTATAGTGGTGCAATCTGCTTTCCACTAATTGCCAAAGACATTTTGTTCTCCATAGCTGAAATATTTAATGAGAACTTTGGACCAGATTTTCGGGAGGAAGAGACTTTCTTTTCTGTATTTGCCATCTTTTTCCCTGCCGCAACTGGGATTCTTGCCGGAGCAAATATCTCAGGTGATCTTGCGGTAAGTATTACAAGGTACTGGATCACTTCTGTATAAAAAACCGTAGATGTATATTATTTTTAAAGGTAGACTTAAATTTTTTTTCTTGCCTTCTAGGATCCTCAGTCAGCCATACCCAAAGGAACACTCTTAGCCATTTTAATTACTACAGTGGTTTACATAGGAATTGCAGTATCCGTAGGTAAATAACCATATAGTTTTTTATGTGTTTTAGAAATTTCATGATGTACACACTTTAAGTATTTATTTCCATGACATTTATATTTCTAACTTTTAAATTAAGAAATATTTCAGTAAGAAGGTTTAGAGTTGCATATTTTAATTCAGAAAGAGTTTTAAATAAACTGGTAATGGTTTTATAGGCATTAGCTAAACTACCAGATGCTCTATTGTTTTTTCCTCTAAGATTTTTATTAAAGTAAATTAGAAAATTATGTAGTCTTATTTGCAAACTTAAATTTCACTGAGCTACAGTTTATAGAAAATGTAATACAATGGTGTAGAAGTAAGTGAATTTTACTTTGTGATCTTTATAAAATTTTTAATATTTTTGCTTATGGTCATTATTTTATATTTGCATGTTAATCTTACTACGTATGAAGATTGTTTCAAGACATTTAAACAGCATTTGGCATTTTCTGTCATAAAAAAATGATTCTGGTAAACAGGACATACTAAATTGAATGAAAATGGTTTTAAATCTTTTATTACATTCATGAAATCATGGCATTTTAGAACTTGAAAGGACTTAAGTGGTCAACCAGTCTCTAAATCACTGTTTTGCACAAGACTGAAAGTTTAGAGATTTCCTTACCAAGGATAACTGACACTTGATTTCAAGAAGTGTTTTCTTGGCAAAGAGAGATTTTGTTTTGTTTTATAATGAATTCTTTAAAGAATGTTAGTAAAGTAGGTTCTTTAAAATATACTAATCCAGAAAAAAAGGTAAATATTGATTTGCCTGTAATTTACATGTAGTGACTATAGATAAATTGTATTGCGTTTACTACACTTAGGTGAAACTATATACTTTACCCAGAACACATATATTCTTGAATTGTAAGCCTTGTTTTAATGTCTAGACTCAAGTTTTCCAGTTAAATCTCTGAAGTATATTATAAGAATAAAGCTTTAGTTTAAAACCAGTCTGAAGAATCAAACTCCAAAATCATAGACCACAGAGTATAAGGTTTTCATAGTATTTCGGTAAGAAAAATTTTTTAAATGTGTATTTATTTTTGAGAGAACATGAGTAGGGGAGGGGCAGTGAGAGACGGAGGCAGGGAATCTGAAGCAGTCCCTGCGCTGTTAATGCAAAGCCTGATCTGGGGTTTGTTCCCACAAACCATGAGATCATGACATTCCCATGAACCATGAGATGATGACGTGAGCCGAAGTTGGGCACCAGACCGACTGAGCCACCTGCTCACTCCAAGAAAATTGTATTTTGTCACATATTTGGTGATATGTTGTGAAGTAATGACAGAACTCTTTTTATAAACTCTCCTGTTAATTTGCCTAAATGTAATTTTGAAACTTCACTAAACAAGAATTGGAAATGCTAATAATGCTATCATGGTGGGCTAAATTCACATTTAGTAAAGGAGTTGGATTTCATTTATTCTTCCAAGTCTGTATATGTGCAAATCTCTGAAATTCATTCAGAAAAAACAAATCAATTATGTATATAAGCTTAGCAAAATATTTTTGTGTTCCCCTGAAAGTTCTTGGCACAAGAAAATTTAGTTTTAATTTCAAGAAAGGTTTATATAACTGGTTATGTTTCAAATTGGAAAATAGTTACAGCAAATAAATGGTTTCTGTTTGTATGTTACCCCCTAACGCTGTTGGCCATCATACTCCTTTCATTCTGTCCACATTAGCCCTTGGAGTGTCTTTTCTCCCTGACCAGCCTACATCAGTGGTTGTGTAACTAGTTCAAAGTAATGGAACCTTTTTTCACCCAATCACTTCCATGTAGAACATCAGAATATGAAACACTTAAAAGCATACATGCTTTATAAAGGGTAGACAAGCTTCTTTTGTCCCCCCACCCAAATGGTTTCACAAGCACCTTTAAGGAAACATGGTTTTGCAAACACTATTCTGAGAGTTAGATGAAGAAATTGAGGACAAAAAGGACTTGATGTAGGCTGTCTAATCATTAAAATGTTCTTCCTTTCAAACTTAAGTTTCTGTTTGTTGTTCACTTTAGGCTACACTGTTTATTATTTTTACTTCATATGTGGTGAGACAGGAGTGCTAAAGTGCTTCAAAAGTAAAAATATATGAAGTCTAAGGAATGGTAATTGCCAGTAGTTACACATCATATGTTGTTCCAAATAATGAAATGCTTTTTTATCAATAAAGTTTTTTAAATGTCGTATTATAGAAGTTTTCAATTTTGCACAAGAGTAGAGAGCTTTTTCTAATCAACTAGCACCCAGTTTCAATGAAGTTATCAAGAATTAACAATGTGTGTTTAATCTTGTTTCACCTATACCCGTTCATTCTGCCCCACAAGTTATTTTTAATCAATTCTCCAATAATCATGTATTTTCTTAATATCAGGGTAGACTTACTTGAGCCAGAGGTTTAAACAGAATTGTGATTCATTGATATTCACATTGCTTTCCTTCACAGAAGTTTGATATTACCTGAAATCTGATCTTTGGCATGTTTCAAATGTAAAATACTTGGAGCAGGAAAACATTTCTCCCATTTGTAACTCTTTCAACACAATGTGTTTATATTTGCTTAAGGACATCTTACCAAATAGACCTAGAAATGGTTTTGCTTGTTATCATTTTCCACAACCATATGTACAGGGTTTTTAATCGTGTATTTGCAAAATACTAGTTTTTAATAATGTTTTGATTCATTAAAATATTGGGGATCATGATGCTTTTTAAATTCTATTACAGGTAAATCTTTGTAAACTATAAATGCTATGAAAGTAAATGGTGAAAATGTCAGTACTTTTAACAAGTATATATTCAGTACCATAATTTGCTTTATGGATATATGTAATTTTGAAATGAATATAAATTTGAGCTATCTTACTTGTTATTATTGTACCTTGCACTTCAGGTTCTTGTGTTGTTCGAGATGCTACTGGGAACGTTAATGACACTATTGTAACAGAGCTAACAAACTGTACTTCTGCAGCCTGCAAATTAAACTTTGACTTTTCATCCTGTGAAACCAGCCCTTGTTCCTATGGCCTAATGAACAATTTCCAGGTGAGCATCATATTTATATTATACAGACACTTATGTAGAGGTTAGACTGCTATCAAATTTGGGCATTGAGATTCCAGCACTAACTTAGAAGGGAGGGCTATTGTTATTTTCTACCCAGATATCTGTTGGAAAAGTCTGTAGATAACAAATTGGGCAAATAGAAAAATTTTGAAAGGGTAAAATCTGAAGCTCTTCAAGAGCAAAAGTGCTCCCAAGGGTAACACTTCTATATTAGGGTACAATATATAGTACATATGTATGGTGTATAGTTTCAGAAAACAAGCATCTCACACATGGTCATATTTCTTGGGTCTATTTCTAGGTTCTCTATTGTGTTCTATTGATGTTTGCATCTATCCATCCACTAGTACCATACATTCTTGACTAGAGTAGTTACATATTAAGTCTTAAAGTCAAGTAGATTGATATCTACCACTTTATCCTTTTTCAAAATGGTTTTAGTTATCTTAGTTCTTTTTGATTTTCTATAAAAATTCTAGAGTAATCTTATGTTTATCTGAAAAAAGTCTTGGTGGGATTTTGTTACGAACTGCTTTAAACTTGTATATCAATTTAGGGAGAATGACATATTCACTCTATTGAGTGTTAGAATCCATGAACACAGTCTATTACTCCATTTATTTAGGTCTTTGGTTTCCTTCATCAGCATTGTGTAGTTTTCAGAATACAAGTCCTATACGTGTTTTGTTAGATATGCGCAAGTATTTCATGTTAGTTTGAGTTTTTTAAATCCACATTTGTTCAAATGAGTTTGTTTTTCTAATTAGAGGTGTCTACATAATTGCTTTATATATAAAATCCCTTTTAAAAAAACACTCATGAGTATCAGTAGTGTTATTTAGTTAGATAAGGCCCATATAGTCCTAGTGTGCTAAACTACCATTGAACAACAGAATTATATTTTTGTTGTTGTTGTTTACTTACTTATTTTTGAGACAGAGAGATCAGGGGAAGGGCAGAGAGAATCCCAAGAAGGCTCTGCATTGTGAGCCTGACATGGGGCTTGACCTCATGAACTGTTAGATCGTGACCTGAGACAAAATCAACAGTCAGATGCTTAACTGACTGAGCCACCCAGGCACCCCCAGAATTAAGTTCTTAATGGATGTTTGAAAGTTTGTGACCTTTTAAAACATATGAACTGTGTAAAAGATAACACTACTTGTCCAGAACTTGGAGGATATCATTTCTTCTTCCTTTTATTATTATCTCTACAAGGTTCTAAAGGTAAAATGAAATTTTTATAAAATATATGGGTTTTTACAAACAGAAGATTATACTGAATCAAAGGAAAAACTAAAAATTTTGTTTCCTGGTGTTTTTACAGTTTAGTGTAATTATAATCAACAATAATTGATGATTTATTGTATTTTAGGACAGTATAAATTTCATGTAGAATAATGAAATTTTGTAATAAAATGTTGTAACTTTTTAATGGCATTATTTTTATTTTTTGTGGTTTCAAGCAATTGTCTACATTTTCAGTGTTTAGAAATATTGAACCCAATTATATAATAGAAGTTTGTTTTTTTCTAGTCACAAGACTAGGCATAGTCGTAGGCATGAAAGAAAGTATTCATATCCAGCTAATGATCCAGGCCAATTCTGACATTGATATTGTGTATGAAAGGCACAAATGTTGATCTCTGCCCAGTGACTGAAAATGCCAATCAGATTTCTGTGTTGTTGCCTTAAAATACAAAAGTGTGTTGTCTTTATCAAGTCTAGTATGGACTCAGTAAAGCAAAGAGCAGCTTGGTTTATGTAAAGCTGCTTTGCTTATACAACTAAATAAATCTTCAAAAATTTTAAAAATGCTTTGTAAAGTGAAACAAAAAAATCCTGTAAAAGCGTAAACTCATCATTTAGAGAATGAAGAATGGTACACAGAACATAAGTAACAAGCATGTAAGTTGGAGTTTGATGATGCAATCCACCCAAAACCACACTTGATAAAGCCATTGTGCATGTCTTTGTCTTTTCATACTTCAGGAAGAAAAATGACTTGGATCATTTTGTCTTAAATTTTGATTTTTACATATATAGTCGTAGGTTTCTTAATGTGTTTTTACATTTTAATGTCTTCTGAAACCACTGACTCACCATTGCTTAGTAAAGAAAGTGTGAGCCTTTTTACTGTCAGTCAAAACCCTTCATAACCAGTCTTATGTCCCACTGCCTTCTATCCACACTGAACCCATGTGGTTGCATATTTTTGCATATATACATGCACACATGCTTCTCCTAGTCTTTTCCTTTTTTTTTTTTTTTTGGCACTTCATTCTGCTTGGAATGCACCTACTTTTTTTCTTTTTATATGTGCAAATATTCCTTTAATCAAGGAAACCCAGTTCCATGAAGATTTTCTTGAACCTCAAATCATCAACACATACACATATATTTCCCCTATAGAAAAATCTTGACTTTTGTTTTTTTTTCTCTTACTAGAGATAAGACCTTTATTTTTGTCATCTTTGTTTCCATCATGTATTGTGGACAACACTGATGTTACCATTATTTACATTCATTATCATTATCCTTGCTATTCATATTTTATCATAAAATGGTGAGAAATGCAGAGGTTATTGAGTAAATATATAACTAGAAAATAGGAAACTCAGCAAATTTTAGAAGGATAGCGTTTCTATGGGGCGCCTGGGTGGCGCAGTCGGTTAAGCGTCCGACTTCAGCCAGGTCACGATCTCGCGGTCCGTGAGTTCGAGCCCCGCGTCAGGCTCTGTCTCTCTCTGTCCCAAAAATAAATAAATGTTGAAAAAAAAAATTAAAAAAAAAAAAAAAAGAAGGATAGCGTTTCTAGATGCTAAGTGTGGAGCATTATTTACCTCCCTTCAGAGGTGATAGAAGAAGAGGAAACGTGATTTTTCCCTCAAAATTGACAGATGAAAGGTTATAGTTATATGTAATGCTTGTGGTGTCTGTTTTGCCTTAATCCAGCAAAGTATCATTTTCTCTGTACTTTGCTTTTTTTCTTCCTTTATCTCCTGTCTTTGCACTTACCTTTGGGGTCATGATGGACAGGCACACAATTTTGGATTTGAAAAGTATATATAGCAGAAATCAAGTCTGTTCATTTTTATCCTGGTCCATCTTATCTGTCCTTTATAATCTCCTTCCCCAAAGACAGGAGTTGCACTGCTAATCTAGTATTAACGACCGTGAAACATAGTGATTGTGAAAAACATATGGCATATATCTAACTACCAAAATTTGACTAAAGGGCCGAATAGAAAATCATTTGTTTAAGATTTTTTTCTCTCTGAAATGCTTACAGAGGTCAATGCTAATATTTTTTTAACCACTTTAATGTATTCTTCATTTTTAATACTAAGTCTTTTGAAAGATACAGGGAGAGCTACTTAGGTGAAACAAGGTGGAATTATCAACACATGAAACCAGATGTATGCATTATGGCCCGGGATCATGCCTATAGCTAACTTTACATCTGGTTTAAAGTATAAAATTACAGTCAAGGGCAAAATAGTCACAAATACCTTAAAACCATATTTCCTTGTCTCCTTCTTCTTAGTTGGCACGGTCTTGGTCACTATAAATGAAAAGTAAATCTCTACTAGGGAAGTAATGAATCTAGGTAATGATCATCATTCACTACTGGTGGAACTTATAATGGATGGGTCAAGTTGACAGTACCTGAGTCCTCCAGACAATTTTCCACCTCGGTCTTGTCTTTTCATAGTTTTCAAAGATGTGGGAGGAGCAGTGCAATGAATACCTCTATACCTACCCCTTCACTTAAATTTACTAGGTGTTTATGTTTTGCCCCAGGCCTTTACCTTTGTATATATGTATAGTCTCTTTCTTCTCAAATATGTGAAAACAAATTATACACACCATAAAATGCCCATCAGTTTGAGCTCTTTGAAATATTCTATATGGGCACAGGATAGTTAGCCCACTTCAGGAATTCGTTGTTGTTGAAATACTGTTACTTAAATATATCATCCATCTTCATTTTCCCCACTTGCTTCAGTAATGTCCCTTATAGGTATTTTTCATAGATCCAAAATCCAATCTAGGTTACATATGGCATTGAGTTATCATGTTCTTTTAAAATCCTTTAATCTAGGAGTTTCCAGCCTGCCTGTTTTAATCTTCCAGGGTGTTGTTATTTTAAAAAGTCCAGGCATGTTACTTTGTTTTTTGCCCCTCAGTTTGGATGTATCTGGTTGTCTTCTCATGATCTAAGTGATCAATCCATTTTTTTTTAAACTTCATTAGGGAAATTTTTGAACATGTACAAAGATAGAGAAAGCAGTGTAATGTACTTTATGAGATTTTATTAATCACCAGTGCTTGGCTGACTTTGTTTTATTTATAACTTCCTACTTCCCACATTATTTAAAGACACATCCTAGACTTATGTCCTTTCAGGTAGAAATATCTCCACATTAGGTTCCGAAAGTTGAGGTCTCTTTTTAAAAAAGAGAAAACATAACTACAATACCAATCTGATAGAAAGGGAGGGAGCAAGGAAAGAAAAGACAGAAAAAGCAACCTTCTTGAGAAAGAAAAGAAAAGAAAAGAAAAGAAAGAAAAAAACAACCTTCTTGATGGAAGTGCACCATCTTGAAATACTCTTGCCACAGAACTTGTATTTCATCCTGATGCACTGTCTAGATATGTCAGTTCACTAGAAATACAGAGGTGAGAGCAGCGGCTTACATACCACAAGTTGGAGATGCAGTCAGTGAAATCCAGAAGTGTGAGGCTTCTCTGAGACAATGACTTAATAGTAAAATGTAAAGGAAAGCAGTGAACCTGCTGATTGAAAAAGACTTTAAGAGACGTATCCACCAAATTTAATGTGTGGTCTTTTTGTGGATTTTGGTTTAAACTATTTAAAAAGGCAAGAAAAGATGGACAACTTGGAGAACTTGAATGGTGATAGGCTGTTTGGTGATGTTAAGGAACTACTTTTTAAATTCTGACAGTGGCTTTGTAGTTACAGTTTTTAAAAGTTCTTACCCATTAGAGGTACATGGTGAAATATTTGTATATTTGTTTATTAAGTGATGTCTGGGGTTTGATTCACAATGATGTGAGATTGGTCCTGAGCTGATCATTGTTGAAAGCAGGTGATAAATACTTGGTGGTTCATTATGCTCTTCTGTCTGCTGTGTGTCTGAAATTTTACCAAATAAAAAGATTCAAGGTGAATGCTACTGGTAAATATGTTTTAGAAATTTGTAATGCACATAACCATTATTACTGCTTGTGATTATCATATCCCCCTGCCCTGACTGTTAGTCTCCTTCATTAGCATAATAATGATATATAGTATTTTGTTCTTTCTTGACCTGTTTGTAACACTTAATTTTCCCCTTTTTTAAGGTAATGAGCATGGTGTCAGGATTCGCACCATTAATTTCTGCAGGTATCTTCTCAGCCACTCTTTCTTCTGCATTAGCATCCCTTGTGAGTGCTCCCAAAATATTTCAGGTAGGTATTTTCATAGTACAAGCTTTATTGAAAGGGAAGTTATGGTAATATATTTCACTTTGAGATTCTTAACTTTTTCAAATCATTTGTTTGCCTTTATATGTGTATGATATATACACACACATCTCAAGAACCGGTATCTTTAATTTCGTGAATGTTTCTCGTTATATAAACATTAGTGCATTTACCTACTGTGAAGGTATAGTCAAGTTGTCTATCTGTAAATGGTGATGGAGTTTTGTTTTTTCAACTTAATCTCATTGCACAAATTTTTTATAATGTCTTACTAAGAATAAGGAATGCAGTCCAAGTATAAGTTGAAAGAATTAAAGGACCTTGTGCCCTCTTGCATGATGACAGCCTTTATGTTTTGATTTATGAACATTTGAATGCCTACTATATGCCACACATTGTGTTAGCTACTCAGGATGATGAATGAGGCACATCTTATCTCCCTTTAATGAGCATTAAGCAAACAGCTGACACTGAATAGGATGTTGTTCTGCAGCCTTGTTCCTGATATTATAGTTGTAGCCAGTGAGTAGGGTCAATGTAGAATATATCTCTTAAAATAGTTTTTAGTAGAGTTTTAAGAAAAGTGGTTAAGTTTGATAATAAGGATTTTTATTTGCTTTAAGTCTAGGATTTAGACTTTTTTTTGTGTGATGTTGGTCACACCTATGTCATACTCCTCAAATTTTCAGATTTATTTGTATGCCTGCTTCTCTGCCATTTATCTTCATAAAAGAGTTTCAGCGTGGGGAGGGGCGTAAGGTAGATAAAAACTTCAGCGGTATTCTCTACCAACTACCTTTTGATACTTGAAATGTTTGGTCTCCTTTATCGTTTATTAGGTAAAGCAGTGTGACACAGTGGGAAGAAAGAGGATCAAGAAGTAGAAATCTTGTGTTCTAATCCTGTGTCTGAAATTTTACAGTATTATACATTTATACAGTATTATACAGTATTATACACTTACACATATTATAACTGTAAGGAAGTCTGTTTGTCTAATTTCATTATATTTCCTCTAATATTTGCCTTTCTTCACTAGGCTCTGTGTAAGGACAACATCTACCCAGCTTTCCAGATGTTTGCTAAAGGTTATGGGAAAAATAATGAACCTCTTCGTGGCTACATCTTAACATTCTTAATTGCCCTTGGATTCATCTTAATTGGTTAGTCATACAAATGATGTGCTAATACAGATTTTGTAACATTTATAGTGTGAACTCTAAACATTGAATTATTAAATTATGAAGAAAACCTTAATTTGCCTAGTAAACTAAGTTAGTTTTTTTGTGATTAAATGAAAGTGTACGTAGAAAATACTATAAATTATAGTGCTCAGTACATACCTGCGAAAATTATTACCATCACTAAGTCTCCATCAGAGGGAACTCCTAGGTTCTTGTCCCTGAAAAAAATAAAATGACAGCGTACGAGAAAGGGTTTTAGTGCCCTCCTGAAGGTAGAGCCTCCCCTGAGCTACTTTTGGGCACTTTTACCTTTGATCACAAGTGAGTTAAATGAGTCTTCCACTGCTGAAGATGATAGTGGACTTTTATTAAAAGTCTGAATTAGACCAGAAAGTATGGAAACTAACTCTCATGTAATGCTGCTAGGTATCTCTTCGGTATGGCTACTTTGGAGAATAAATCACTAATGTTTTGTAAAGGTTCTCACAGTCCAGCAGTTCTTTTTAGCAGTCTATATATATATCCTAAAGAAACTGCATGTATATCCAAAGAACCATATCCAAAGATGTTTTTAGTGTCATTATTTATAATAGAAAAGGAAAGCAACTTGAATACCTACTAACAGAAGAATGAAACTGCAGACTATTATCGAAGAGTAAAAATAATGAATACGCTTTATCTCCACATATCAGTATGAATGAGTCTCAAATATAATAAATGTAACCAAATTGCAAAATGATAAATATGGTATTTGTCTGACTTTGAAAATACCCAAAACAGTACTGCATAAAACTTGTGGACTATATATGTGTTTAGTAAAACTATATAATGTCACTGGAAAAATAGGGCAACTTTGGAAGAATGAGGTGGAAAGGGTTCAACTGTGGACCCAAGGGTCGATGTCTGAAAGTATATGAAGTACATGTGGCAAAATATATGTACTCATTAAATCTGAAGTGTGGATATAGGGGTATATCTATCTATCATCTAAAGGCTTAAAATAATTTCATGTTTTAAAAAGTTAAAAAATGTGTATAGTGTGTCCTTAAATACACCTCATGTGTCTTTTGCAGCTGAACTGAATGTTATCGCTCCAATTATCTCTAACTTCTTCCTTGCATCGTATGCTTTGATCAATTTTTCGGTGTTCCATGCCTCACTTGCAAAATCTCCAGGTGATCTTACATTTTCTTAAAGTTCTGTGAATGCATTAATGTCTTTTATTTTAGAGAAAATAATAAAACTTCAACACATTTTAAAAGATGGTGTTGTGAGTGATTAACCCATTAATGCTCAGTCCACCTTTACTCTAGAGTCAAGTTAAGTGAGTCTTCAAAGATCTCTTTGTCATGAAGTTTACTGGTAGTTTACTGTTTCTTAGAACCATTTAAGATAGCATTGTAGATCTCCAATTCTGACTAATACTATGAAAGAATTATTTTCTCCCTGTTTTTATTATTTATTTAACTGTTTTCCATTTAAGTTCTAAGAACATGGTTATGATAAAGCTAACATGCCCAGAAAAATATTTTTAGCACAGTAAGTTCTGTGGAGTTCTGTTTTAAATGGTCTCTGGGAACTGAAAAACTGCCCCATATGCTTTCATCGAGGACTTTTTATTATAAACCATAACAACAGCTGGACATCAGAGAAAGAATGAAGGAACAAAGGCAATTTTCCTTCTAAGGGTCTCCAATTCTCTCAGAATAGGGAAGATAAAGTATGGAAGTTGGGACACACACATCTTAGCTTCAGCCTTTCCTTTAAGAATATAAATTTTAGAGATGGGTATGTGTGGTTGTAAAAGGATAACACAAGGGCTGCTTATATTGGACTGTTCTTTGTCTTTACTGTATTAATATCAGTATCTTAGTTGTGTTATTGTGTGATTTTGCAAGGTGTTATCATTGCGGGAAACCTAGGTAAAAAGTCCCCAGAATTTCTCTGGATTCTTTCTCACAACTTTGTGGGAATCTGCAATAATTTCACAATTAAAAGTTTAATTTAAGAAAAGAATATGAAATTTATTGAAATGATTTTTAAATAATATTTTTGGCTATGGAATGAAAATTTGCATTTTTTTTTATAGTGAACTTAATTTATAAATACTTCATCAAATGGGAAGATAAGTTTCTACACCCAACTGTTAATTTTTCTAGCAAGTAGATGAATTAAGTTTTCCAGAAAATTTTGTTTGAACTCTTTTGTATATGCATTAGAATATGCGTATGTTTCATGGTAAAGTCTAAAACATAAAGCCACACTTGTAAAGACTCAACTTGAAACTTCCTCTCAATCTTTTGTAGTTTTTTTGTATTCACTAAGATAGGTTGATGCATAGAATAAGGTAGAATTAAATACGTGTGCTTTCTTCATGGCCTTCAAAAATTGTGAAAGTTCATTGTGCTCAGTAATGCTCCATGAATCTACTTTTATATGTTAGCCTTATACTGAATATTTAAAGCAACCACAAAGAAAGTTATTTTGTGCACACATATGTTCCATTGTCTAAAGCAGATAAGGTATTTCACTGACTTTTATGTATCTGTTTTGTTTGTAATTGTTAGGATGGCGTCCTGCATTCAAATACTACAACATGTGGATATCACTTATTGGAGCTATTCTTTGCTGCATAGTGATGTTTGTCATTAACTGGTGGGCTGCATTGTTAACATATGTCATAGTCCTTGGGCTGTATATTTATGTGACCTACAAAAAACCAGGTTAGTACTCTTTTATTATTGTTTCAAGCCACAAGACACTTCGAAGTTCTTTGTTACTTTTCCTGTCTAAGCTTCATCTTCTGTGTACTTGAAAGGTGCTTTGTGTAAAACCTAAAATACTTCTCATTTCCAGATATATGTAGACTTAGTGAAATAATTACCACTAGACTTTTTATTCTATGTAATTTCATACTTGCCCGTAAATTTAACTAATCCTACTTACAGAAAAATGACACATTTGTATTACTAACATTTGGGTGACCCTCAATGTATTTTACAATTTTCCTTGGAAGGATTAGACTTCGTAGAATAGCTCTTGTAATAGCTGTTAGCCTAATAAGCATACGTGTTAGTACTGTGGTCTTAGCACCTGTTGGAGTAAATTGCACGGAATGGACGGTATATTAGAAAGATGTGGTATCTTTCCGTTAGTTCACCATATAGCAGGGAACATTTGACAAACATGTTCTAACTGGGGTTAAAGATTTCCCAGAACGTGTCGTGTTGGTAACTCTTGGGTGTATCTCTACATAAGATGATGATCCTTAGGTGTATTGGGATTGGTCCAGTGTAGTGTGGTAACTGTAACACTGAGGGAGGAACCAGTGAGAAAAGTTTGACAAGTTTTGGCCCCATTCGACTAAGTTAGGAAGAAATGCAAGAGTAGCTGCAGTGTCGTCATCTGAAACTGTGAGGAAGCATTTTGCAATCCAGATATGATGCAGGGAGGTTTTGGATTAGAGTGCTGGCTTTAGAAATGAAATGAACAAAGAAGGTAATGTTTTAGCCATCTTAGAAACAATTATTTCTCTAAAATAACAAATTTCTAAAGTCCTATTTGGTGTCCAGGCTGTTTACTCAATGCAGAGTGTGAAATTTTCCTGTTCCAATAACAAACTATTAAGTTCTATGAATGGTAATTTCACAGTTTTGAAATCTTTCCATCAGAGATCAGCCTCTTTCCCAGTAGGCTTCTGGCTATATAAACAATAATCTTAAAATTATTTGTGGAACTTTGTTGAGTTGCATGCACAGCGTGTCTCTAGCCCCATCACCTTAGTCTTTTCTGAACTGTACTTGTTCTTTAAATGCAGTTCCAGTTCAGATTAGTATTATCACAGTGTCATGCCATGCACTTGAACTCTTGAGCATTGTCAATACATTGGTTTATTTTAGCATTTGTTTTTTTAAACAGAGCATCGTTTACTTCTCTGTGCCTCAAACTGGTTCTTGATCGTTGGTTAATACTGGTGTGTTGCTGTGTGTACCCTGTCTTCCCACAGACGTGAACTGGGGATCCTCTACACAAGCTCTGACTTACCTAAATGCTCTGCAGCATTCGATTCGTCTTTCAGGGGTGGAAGACCACGTGAAAAACTTCAGGTAAGCGGTAAGGTGACATAGAAGCATCTGTGTTAGGTGCCACTCACTTCTTGACTTACTGTTCGGTAACATTTTCATCTGCTGATATTTCTTGCGAAGTTTCCTAAAAGCACAGAATATTCGTTTTTGTTTTGGCTGGACTTTGGATGGGCCATGTGTTCAAAAACCAGGGTAGTAAGATTTTTTTGTTATCAAAAATTGATAAAGAGGTGAATTATCTGATTTACAAAAATGTTACAAAACTAAAAGTGTCAGAAGTCTCTCATTTGAAGGCTTTTAAATGGTAGCTGTCATAAAGTGAATAGTTTCTTCCCCTTGTGGCCAGCGAAGTTCAGTAACCACTGTACAACTACAAAGTATGAGCTTCTTAGGGATTTTTGACATACCCTATTTTGTAATTATACTAAAGCACTAACTATTTTCATGTTAGTTGCTTTTTTCTCTCATCATTGACTTCTGGAATCCAGTTTTGATGATAAAGAATCAATGTCTTAAAGAACATTTATACTGTTTTACTCAATAAGTGGCTTTGTATTTTATAGTAGTGTATTAATCATCAATTTAAAAACTATTCCTTAAAAAATAAAAATAAAAACTATTCCTTAATTCAGCCTGCTTCTAACAATTGATGGAATTCAGTTATTAAAGTGCTACTGATACATATCCCTCTAAATCAAGAAGTCTCATTATTTCCCTATGTGGATTCTTAGAAATTATAGATTTTGCATTTTGTGGAAAGTAGGCTTGCCATTTTTTTAAAAATTGATCTAAATAGTCTTTCTCATACTGTTCAGTTAAGCCTGGCTGTAAGCAGTTGACTTTCTGTATTCATGAGTAATCACATCTCAGTGGCTTCTGAATAATGAAGAGATGTGTTCCATGCCTGTCAATAAACCAAAAGGGGAAATACTGTTGAAAGAAATCCTAAGGAGTGAATGAGTGACAGAAAAGAATTGCTCTACCAGTTTTCGCCCAGTAAGAAGAGTCTTTATGTATTTTTCTGTTACTTTTTGGATCCTGCCCCCCATCTCTTTTTTTCTAGAATGAAAAGTTTCCAGAGACCACAGATGTTCAGCTTTGGAGTAGAGAGAAATTGGGAAAAGAAAAAGCAATGAGAGCCCTGGGCGGAAAACTTTAATTTTAGTGCATTTTGAATAGTTGATGCCAAGTATGGCTGAAAATAGAAATCCTCCCTTTGTGTAAAAAATTGTATTACGGAACTGAGAGTATGACCAAGACTCAGAGTGAATTTGCCATCAATGAATACCTTTTGCTTTGCTTTGTTATACTAATGGGAACATTGAAAAGATGTATTTTATTCCAGTATGGCTTCTTAAATCTTTATCAGAATTACCCATGAACATAGTTGAGAGAAACAGAAGAAAATCATGAAAATCCATAGTTGCCTGACTTTTCATGTCCCTGTTTGTGTCATACCACAGGCAACCTCTTTCAACTCTTAGCTGATTGATTTAGTAATTACTTGATATTCCCCAACATTAGAGTTGTCTTGCTGTACTTTTTGATTTTTAATTTAACTTTAATTAAATTTAATTGCCGTCCTTCACCCACATGTGCCCACCACACACATGCACTCTTCCCTTTGTCCCATCCTCACAATATATTTTTATGTCATTATTTTGATTAGGTTTTTATATTTTTATGACTTTTTAAAATGATTCATAGCTGAGCCACGTGGTAATTATGACTCCTTTTTCTTTCCTTGTACAGCTTTCTTGTTTTCTCTGGAACCAATTTTTTTCCTTTTCTTATTTAATTTTATACATATCACTGTCTCAGCCTTCACCAAACTTAGCTAAAGATGTGGTTTTCTCCACCTTGTAGTTTCTGTTTCTTGAAATGTCTTTCTCTCTGTTTCCTGTCTTTTAGCTTGGGTGCTTAGATTTGCCTTGTGTGAAGTAACTGTGGTCCTTGGCCAGGGAAATTCTGCATTGGTGCTTGGAGCTTGTCATTGAAGCCCTTAATGGAGATGAATGTGGCTTTGCTGGTTCTTTGAGAAATTTAAGTCATCTTGAAGATTGTTTTTTTTACAATTAGATTTCACAGAAAGGAATCTTTTAATTTTTTGCTTGTTGATGACAGTCGTGGCTAGTGAGTTCTGAGAGTCAAGTGGGAGAGGAGATTGAAGGTCTCAGGATTCAGTATGTAAATGTTTTCTCCATTCCTCCCCTGATTAAAGTAGCTGCTTCTACTCTCAGTTGTTGCTAGTGTGTCACAGACCAAAAATGTTTTCATTAAAGTATAGTTGACATATAATATTAAATTAGTTTTAGGGATGCCTGGCTGCCTCAGTTGTTAGAGCATGCAGCTCTCGATCTCGGGTCATTCATCAGTTCAAGCCCTGTGTTGGGTGTAGAGCTTACTTAAAATAAATAAAATTTAAAACTTACTTAAATTCTAAAGTTATAGGTAGACTACATAGTGATTTAACAATTATACACATTATGAAATGCTTGTCATGATAAGTATATTACAGTATTTTTGACTATTCCCAGTGATACACTTTTCATCCCCAAGACTTGAAACTGGAAGTTTTATACCTCTTAATCTCCTTAACCCATTTTGCTCATCCCCCCAATCCCCTCCACTTTGGTGGCCATCAGTTTGTTTATATTTATGAGCCTGTTTTTCTTTTTGTTGTTGTTGTATTGATTTCTTCTCTATATTTGTGAGTCTTTTCATCTCTTTCTTGTTTGTTTTCTCTTTTGGTTTTTAGACTCCACATGTAAGTGAAATCATGTGGTATTTGTCTTTCCCTGTCTGGCTTAACTCCCTTAGTATAATATCTTCTAGGTTCATTCATGTTGTCACAATGGCAAGATTTCATTATTTTTTACGGCCAAGTAATATTCTGTTGTATACATACCATGTATTCTTTATTTATTCATCTGTCACTGGACACTTAGGTTGCCTCCATATCTTGACTCATGTAAAACACCAGTGCGTGAGGGGTGCCTTTTCTCCACATCCTCACCAACACTTACTTCTTGTCTTTCTGAGTGTTATGAATTGATACCTCATTGTGGTTTTGAGCCCCTTTTTAGCAAATAAGCCTTAGCCTGGCAGGATTGGGGAAGGACACAGAAATGTATTCATGATGGTAATGAAGATGATTTGGTTCTTTCTAGTTGTTTCTTATGCAAAGTTGCAACCAGTGCTTCCTACTTCAGTTTCTTTAATACATGGTTCATGGCACTTCCAGAGGCACCCACTGCCTCTAACTTGTAGGCACTGGTGATTTTTAGTTGTCAAATCAGGTAGCTTCACAGCTTTCTCTTAGGCTTTAGGATTTAGCCTCTTCCTAATATGGGGCCTATCTTTTGTTGTTTTTTCCCTCTCCTTTCTAGCTTTCAGTATCTCCATACTACTGTGTTTTCTCCTGTTCCTTTTTTTTTTTTTTCCTTAAAAATCCCTTTATACAATGGACTGTTTTGAGGAAGGAATTAAAACAAAGGTAGATGTTTGCCCTCTGTCATTGTTACTCAGTCTCATCCCTAATATATTTTGTATTCTGCTTTTTTGATGCTTTTATGATACAACTATACTGAAGTAAGCCTTTGTGGTATATTTACCATGTAGTGAAGATAGGGGCTACCAGTTCTTGAACTGCAACTCTAGATTATGTTAGAGTGTAGGTTAAACTACAGTTAAGGAAAGTTGGTAGAGTGGTTACATAAGACAAGCATCCATATTACGTGGTAGTCCAGAGGCAGATGGATGGTTCATGGCAGGCAGATTTGCTGCACTTGGTCACTCAGGTCCCACATTCTTTGTATCTTGTCAGTCTGCTGTTTCCTAGGAGGTGTTTTTGTCCATGTGGTCAGAGTCATCAGCACATCCATGGTGTGGCTTACAGGAAAGGGAAACAAAGTATGGAGGGCAGCCAGCTTCCTTATATGGGCTGTAAGCCACTCACAGGGTCAGTGGTAAGCTACCAGGAAGGATAGGAATTGTGTAATTTCTAGCTGAGGAGCTTTTTAACCTGCTAAAGCTCAGATAGACTGAACTATTAGCAATCTGGGCCGTACAGGCTGATTTCTTGTTTGATCACTCCAACGCCCTTCTCCCAGACAGAATTGGTTTTTTCAGACAGCTTGCTAAAATTCTGAATACGTTAGTTATTTTGGTTCGCTTTGGTTTTCATAGTCTTTATTCAAGTTCTCATGCTTACTTTATGAAGTTAGGAACTACCCTACCAATTTAGTGATTATGTCAGAAATTTTAGTCTATTTCCTTTTTCTTAACGTTTGTTTTAATCATATAAATTCTTGTTTTAAAGAATCTTTCCTAATGTTTGAACTTATAAAATGGATACTTAAATATTTTTACATTAAATAACATTGATTTCCATTTCTTTTCAGTTAAAATAAAGAATTAAGAATATATGAAAGTCATGCCACTGTTTTGTGTTTACAAGGGCAGTTGAATTTAAGTTTGATTTCCACCATAATTTAGAATCAAAACTTTTACTTCACATAGAAACCTTCAAATCAACCATAGATGATTTTACTGATACAACAGCCGTCATTAAAAGTAAGCTAGATTAGATAGGGCTGATATTACGAAGTAGAAATCATTATGATAGGATAAAACTAAGATGGAAAATGACCTGTTTTGTACATGAAAGGAAGGCCAAGCTCTTAGGAAGTTTTGGAACTCTGTGAAAGAACTGGGATATTTATTACCTTTACAAGTAAAAAATTGTTATATATATATATATATAAATATATATATATTTTTTTAAGGAGTGATTCATTTTCTTTTTTAGATGATTTTTTTAATGTGAAATTTATTGTCAAATTGGTTTCCATACAACACCCAGTGCTCATCCCAAAAGGTGCCCTCCTCAATACCCATTACCCACCCTCCCCTCCTTCCCACCCCCCATCCACCCTTAGTTTGTTCTCAGTTTTTAACAGTCTCTTATGCTTTGGCTCTCTCCCTCTCTAACCTCTTTTTTTTTTTTCTTCCCCTCCCCC